GCAATCATTCGTTCCTATTGATAGATGTTTATATTTAAGCACCTACGTATTTTTATTTTCAAGTTCGCTCTTGTTATTAATTTTCAAGTTCGCTCTTTCTTATGAATCACGAATACTAATTTTTGATTGTTTGTGGCATGTAGTGTAGTATGAAGCAACAAACAACCCATAAGGAAGCAACAATTCAATAAAAAGGGCAGGACCCGTACAAAATAACATTGTGTTCACACACTTAGTACACTTGGATAACAAGAGAAATGGCATTAAGGCCGACACTAAGCAAATTTAGTAGATTTCTATTGACATTGCTGTAATGGTCTTCAGTTTCCACGAGGAAAGAATAGTTTGACCAATAACAGCTCAAAATACCCATGGTTCCAAGGACCCAATGTGACCATAAACTCATAAGAGTTTCCACCAAGCAAGTTGACAAGGGTAACGAAATCGGCATTGGCCATGTCTTCATCACTTACTACATCTGAAAGGATTTTGCGTAAGTTTGCCGATGGGAAAACAACCTCAACTTCGAAATAGTCATCCTCAATAACTAAGTGGATCAAATGAACTCTAGATGCAGCACGCCATGATGTCCTGACCTCGGTGACACGTCCAGAGAAGAGGTAAGAAGTGCCCTGGTGTTTAAAACAACAAATGGATTTTCAAAAAAAAATTAACAAGCATTAACAAACACAAAAAGTGCAAACGAGAGCGAGAATGACGAATGACAAAAAAAAATTATTTCAATAACCTCAACGTCACCATTCTCTTGCAACAATATAAGACCGAGTGATTCCGTAAATTCAGACATAGAAGCTGCTTCCTCATACCGCAGCTTTGCAACGAAACCAGGCTCAACCATAAAATCCCTACAAATAAAACCGTTACTAATGTATGACCATACGAAAAGGAAGCAGAGTAGACAGTCTAAGGATTAGTTGGTAAACAATACTTACGGGTACCATTGAGATACACGATCCATTGTAAGAAAATTACACCTACGAGTATAACAACACACTACGTCAGATACTCTAATCCACCGTACCAAATAGTTAAAAAGCATTTACAAAAATGTACCTGCGGCGGTTGAAACGTGGTCGGCGGCAACTCGTTGTTAGTCCGGGAAGGAAGGAAGACGCCGATTGGAATTCCTTTTTTCCACAGGATTTTCCTTCGCCTGCTCTTCTGTCAACAGACGACAACCCTACCCTTGCTGCTCTCTCCCTAACTTTCTCCTGCCTTTCGTCCTGGGAACTTTCTGCCGCTCTTCTTCCCACAACCCCTCGAGCGAATCAGCGGCGGCGGTGGCAGGCGACGATGGTGGCTCGGAGGTGGAGACCGGTATTGAGCGACCGCCGACCAGCGGTGGATTGACTGGCAGAGGCGGAGGCGGAGGGGGAGGCTTGCATGCAAGGGAGGCGGAAGCGAAGGAAGGACGAGAATGGCGGTTAAGTTTTCTTTCTCAAGGAAAACAGAGAAGCCTGCGCATGGGGGGAAGAAAAAGCAGGGATATGGATCGATTGCTTGATTTTGTAGGCTAGTCTTTCAGTTGTTCAACTTTGCCATAATTGATCTGTGTTGGGACTTGGGACTTGGGAGAATACAAATAATGCGAAAAGGCGTTGTGCCGCCGATCTGCTATTGCTAAGGGCCTTATTGGGCCTGGTACAAAAGGCATGTTCGAATTCACATGAGGCCTTTTTAATGGCCAAAATATACGAGGCCTTTTTAATCAATCGATCGGATTATTTAGACAACAAATAATCTGAATCGATAGTGAACAAATAATTAGGATCTCAAAACAACCTATGGTACTTTAGCTGTCTAGCGAATTTCACTGATCATCTAGAATGACAAAGAACAATTGTTCCACGTGATAGGATCATCTCCGACAAAAATCTCATAAGATCTTCCTTGATCTATCATAACCTCATCGTGACTTGGCCATAGGTATCGATGTCATGAAAGTGCCTGATATAAATATATTTATAAGGAACAAGACATTCTACCTCAACCGACAAACTTCTATCAATGTAAAACTTCTATCGATGTCAAGTCTCACTTTTCAACTATAATGTTATATACTATGTTACATGCGTCTTAGTATATGAAATCGTTTACGCTACAAATTTTTTTAAAGCAACACTGCATCTCTTTTATAATAACAACCAATCCATTTTACACGCATCAGTGTCAAGGCAGAATATTGAACCATTCGGAACATGGAGCTTTCACGTTTATAAGTTTGTCAAGGCAGAATTTCAAACTTAGTCACTAGACTGCACTACAAATGCCCTTTCACGTGGTTTAGCAAAGGTTTGTTTTGGGATGTACTAGTCCTTTGTACTAGTTTTGGGTTAACGCAAAGTTGCAAGGTGGAGGTGGGCACAACGGTGGTGTGTGACAAAAATGACATGTTGTGTAGAATTACTATTTATGAATAGTTGTAAAATAAAATTCTAAATAGAAAAATGAAATTTTTTCCAAAAACTTGACTAGCAAGGAGAGGGTAATCAACTATGAACAAGTGATTTCAAATGAAATTATAAAAAAACTAAATATAATGGTTGAAACTAGTATTCGAACCCTACACCTATTCTAGCAAACTTAATAGTAAACTACTAGCTTAACCACTAAGTTTGCCAACGTTTCTTGTTTTGTATGCTAAGTTTATGGAAACTATAAGTGTGATGATGTTAGCCCACATTCCATCTCGTGAGTGGTTGAGAAACGATCAGAAGCTTCACTTCGATCGTCTTCTTCCTCGGCGTAATTCAAATTTCAGCTCTTTTTTTTTCAAATTCAAACTTCGGTTTTCTGCTCCACATAAATCCCCAAAATTTCCATAATAGCATACTGATACAACATGGTCCTATTATTGATTTTGAGGGTATGGCATATCTAGTTTTAACACAAATATGTGCGATAAACAAAATTCACAGAACTTGACCCAGGAAGGTTTGACATCATCAATGATAGAACATTGAGGCGCCGCCGTTGATCTGTTAGTGACGGAACTTGGAAGCGAGGCTAATGGCGTCGGAGTCATCAAAGACCATTTGTATCGTCGTGGGAGGACTCTCCGGTGGGGAGGTCACCCCTTTTTCTTTCGACGAAGGTCTCTGCAACTCGTTCGAGAAGCCATAACGCCAATCGCCAGAAAAAGCGAGCAGAGGAGAACCCTTCCTTCTTCTTCTGGTTGCAAGGATTCGAAATCCCTTCCGCAAGGAGAATCTAAGTTGTTGGTGAGCGATGAATTTGGGGCCGACAAGGGAGATTAGAAAGGGTAGGGAGAGGGCTAGCGGCGTCTAGCGGCGGAGGACGGAGGAACAGGGGAAGAGGATAGGGCATTAAGGTATCGGCGTGTAGCAGCGGAGAAGAGAGGGTCGGGATGGGGGGAACGAAGTGCTGGTAGGTTGGATGGGGTAGGTACCCTTTATGTTTTGGGGTGGTTGAATTTGGGTTCAATCAAAATATTGAAAAAACCCAACCCAAATCAAACTAACCAACCCACGGACATAGAGGACTAAAATAAAAGAAAAACTAATTCTATGAGTTGATCTGTAATTTTATTTAATATAAATTCCGAAAAAACAAATCATTTAATAAAATTTAATCTCAGCCGTCGAGATCACACGTACGGTTAAGATCATCAAGGTACGCCATACCCCGGAATTTACCCGGGGTACAATAGAACTGGCCATATATATATATATATATATATATATATATATATATATATATATATATATATATATATATATATATATATGGTTCAGGCTAGCGTACGTCCGGGCGTATGCTAACCTAGCGTACGCCCCATTGAGTTTTGCTATATAGATCATGAATTAATCGAAGTTTGGGGCATGATACTATACCCTAACCTCTAATGGTTGAACCCCAGTCCCTAATTTTCTAACCCAAACCATGAGGTTCGTTTAATCATAAAATGAAAACCAATGAAAATTTCGACGAATCAGAATCGTTGATTTTCATTTTTAAGATTAAAAGAATCTCATGCTTTGGGTTAGTGAATTGGGGACTGGGATTCACCCATTAGGGGTTAGGGTATAGTATTATGTCCCAAACTCCGATTAATTCTTTGTCTAAATAGCAAAACTCAATGGAGCGTACGGTAGGCTAGCGTACGCCCGGACGTACGCTAGCCTTTGCCATATATATGGTTCAGGCTAGCGTACGTCCGGGCGTATGCTAACCTAGCGTACGCCCCATTGAGTTTTGCTATATAGATCATGAATTATCTATATATATTTTGTTTAATCGATAAGAACAGTATTTTTTATGTTTCATCAAATGTAACTTATCTTTCAATTTTAGTAAAAATGAGTTGAAAATTTACTTCATAAGGTTGAATCGGATATTTTTTATTTAAACAAATGTGATATATGTCACTCTCTATTTTATTATTCCTATTTTTTTTACTTGATAAAAAAATATTATTTATGTGTGTTTGGTTGAGTTTATCAACATGTAACTTATTATTAAAAAAGAATAAATGGGTAAATGAAAGGAATAATTGGATAAAAGAAATGGAAATATTAAAGAAGAGAGAGGTAGCTCCATAAATGCATTAATAATTAATTTTTTTGTTTGTAAAAAAGTTGTCCAACTTAGCAAATTGTGGATCATCCAAGTGCTTATGTGGCAAGAGATTGCTTTTGAATTGTCATAATATATAGTATAGATAGATAGATAGATATAGATATAGATAGATAGATAGATAGATAGATATAGATAGAAGATAGATAGATATAGATAGATTAGCAGCATGCACATTTGACCTAAAGTTCACCTATGCTTTGGCGGGATGGGAAGGATCAGCTTCTGATTCAAGAATATTGGAGAATGCCTTAATAAGAGATGACAAACTAAAAGTTCCTCCAGGTAGGTGGTAGTGAGAGATAAAAAAAAAAGTGTTTGTTCATTTTGTTAATGAGCTAGTACTCTATAAAAAAAAACTATTCTTTTTTTTTAATATAGGTAAATTTTACTTGGTTGATGCGGGCTATGCTTTGAGGCCTGGATTTATCACGCCGTACCGAAACACAAGATATCATTTAAAAGAGTATTCTCATTGTCCTCCGGGGAACTCAAAGGAGTTATTCAATTTACGACATGCATCATTGCGTAATGCAATTGAGAGTGCTTTTGGTGTCCTGAAAAAGATATTTTCCATTATCACTAGTGGTTCAGAAGCTCATCATGATGTCAACACACGTTCTGAAATTGTGCTTGCTTGTTGTATTTTGCATAACTTTCTTTTGATGTATGATCCTGATGAAGATATTCTTCGTGAGGTTGATAAAGAATTGATGGAAAATAATGTTGAAGAAGAAGATAGTGGATCTGAAAATAGAGAGGCAGATGCTAAGACCGCAGAAAAAATTAGAGAATATAGCATTCCAGATGTGGAGTCACTATGTTTGAGATGCTAGTCACAAGCTCCTAAATGTGTTTTTCCTAGTTCTTGAAACACTTTTTGTCTTTTACATTGGATATTATTGTCTTTAATGGAAGTTGTTGCATCTACTTAGTTCGTATTTTGTATTTGTTTAATGGTTCAAATAGATGATGGCAGTGGGTGAAGATGAAGTCCAAATTTTGAACACCAATACTCAAAAGTCTTACAAATACCTTAGGTGGCCAAAGGAGATGGATAAACTTCTTTTAGACCTTCTGAAGGAGGAAAAGGCCAAAGGAAATAAGGATGAGAAGCAATTTAACAAAGCTGATTGGACTCCTGTCATTGCTGGGCTAAATTTGGGGTTTAAAAAGCATGGTAAAACTATCAATAAGACAAAGGCAGTTAGCAGGCTAAAGACTATCCAAAAGAAAATGGGGCTTGCCATGGAGGTCTTAGATAAAAAGAGTGGCTTCGGATGGAATGATACGACCAAAAAAATTGAAGCTGCTCCAAGTGTTTGGGATACTATAATAAAGGTAATGTTTACTTGATTGATGTTTGTACTTAAGAATAATGATGTTTTTTCATTTTTCACTTCTTTTGTCAACTGTTTTTCTCAGATGAAGCCTGATTACAATTTGATTGGGGATAAGGAACTTCATTTTTTGGAGAATGCTCGAGAATTATTCGAGAAAGATCGAGCAAATGGAGATGGTGCCATGAGTGCTAAGGAAAATTTTACTAAGTACCATAATGTTGAATCAGAGTTGGGAATTGATGATATTGATAGGATGCTGGCCAACGACGAGATTCACCTTGATCCATTAGTTCCAGAAGCTAGCCAAGTTCCGGGAGTAGCGGTGCCACCAATTAATGTTGAAGTAAAAGCGCGGCACGGGAAAGAGTCTACCAAAGGAACCAAAAGAAAGAGATCTATGTCCAGTACCATTGCTGAAGAGATTATGCAGGTAACATCTTCGATGAAAGAAATTGCTAGTGCCATAAAAAATAGCAATCAACGGATATATGCTGCTACCGAGCTTTCAGCCGAGTTAAAAAAATTGGAGTTAGACAAATGGGAAGTTATGGAGGCACTCGATTTTTTGAAGGACAATGAGCATCTAGTTGAAAGGTTCTTTGCTTGTGACGAGGAGATCAAGCTCGCTTGGCTCAAGAGAAAAATGGGTTACAATGAAGATATTTAGAAGATGGAGCTTCAAACTATTTGCTACTTTTTTCGAACATTTTGTTTTGTCATATTGGTTTGATAATAACTTTATCACTTGCATTTTTTAGAATTTGGATTTTCAATGTTTCATATAGATGTGATTCTCCCAGTTTTCATTTGGTTGTATGGGTCCTTGTTTATTTTTAGTGTCTGAGGTTGATCGATCACTATAACCTCATAATTGGAACCAAGTTTTGAAGTTATCAGGGAGATGCAGAACTTCTTTAAAAATTTGTTTGACTGTTTATTCAAGGCTCAATGCAGATCCCTGCAATTTGGATCTTTGCTTCTTTAAAATTGGATTTTTGCAATGGAAACTCCACACATCCATTCACGTATTGCAATAAAGGAACCATGGAATAGTTTTTATTCGTTTACTATAGCTCATTTGGATTACTGATCCTCCATACCGTGAGCTATTAGTTATTTCAATTTAATGGAAATTAATAAGGGCGTAGTTGAAAATTTTTAATTTAATTCAATTCCGAATGTAACCAAACATGATTTGAGAATTCAATTCATTTCAACATATTTGAACATGACATACCAAACACAAGAATTCATTTTTCATTTTAAAATGAAATGAATTCCCGGTTCATTTGGTACCAAACGGTCTATAAAAGTCAATTAGCAGAACAGAAGATTAGATGATTGTCCACAATCAGAAGCCCCAAACAGTCAATGCCTATAGTTTTGGGAGAAATTTTACAATGCTATATAGTATTGATGCTATAGGATTTTGCCTTTATGGTACAACTTAAAACTGTACATTTACGTTATGGTACAATTTCAGATTGTACCTATACTTTTTGTAGAAATTCTTTTATGGTACAACTTGAACTTGTACCTTTATGTGATGGTACAACTTCAAGTTGTAAAGTTGTACCATAACATAATGATACAAATTGCTTTATGGTACAACTTAAACTTATACATTTAATGTTATGGTACAACTTTAAGTTGTACATTAAAGCACCAATACTATATAGTATAGTAGAAGTGCTCATAGTTTTGGTTAGAATGAACGGAAAACAAAAAAAATCGAACCGTTAATTGTGTGGTCTATGCCCATTCATGACTTTATTTTTTAAATATGTTTATTTTTTTACTTTATTAACATATTTGTGATTTTAATCGAACCGAAATTGTTATGGGCTTATTGGTTTTTACAAGTTAAGGAAATCCGAAAAAAGTGTCAAACTGGTTCGATTTCTATTAATACCCAAACCAAACCGTCACCCTAGAGTATAGCCACTCTAATATCATTCTCTATTGTCCAAGCTTGTTTTGGTTGCTAAACAAACCTGCCTGAAATTGTACACGATTTCATTTATATCACTAACATTTCAGATTGAGCTTCAGAAATATATATGTACTAAATGTCAATTTGTATGCCTTTACAAGCATACTAGATATGCCCGCCCGCGCTCCACTGCGGGATTGAGATGAACTATTTTTCTTATTTATTATGAATTTTCGATCAAATATTTAAAATATATATAGGAAATAAAACAAATAATTAATTTACCATGAATGCAATTAGATTTCGATTATAATGACCTAACATTAGAGGTAGAGATGACGATTTTCAATCCAATAGAATTCATCCACTTAAATATTATCCAACGAAACGAATCCATTTAAATCCAATTGGATTGGTGGATTCATGAATATTTGGTAAATTACAGTTCAGTAACTATATTTCTAATTTTAATTTTTTACGTAAAATATCATTGAAATTTATATTTTGATAGCTTAAAATTCTTATTATGAGTTCCAAAATTTATATATAAGTTCAATTTTTTAGATGTCATTTGATATAATCCAATCCATGATTCCACTAATCCATTTGATCAAAATTCATATAATCCATGGATCCACACATCCATAGATTCAATCCATTTGCCACCTCTAATTAGAGGCAACATTATTTATTATTTTTAAAATCCAATGGTTGTGATGGTTTGGTGCTGGCCGCGGTGGTGATCTGGCGATGGTGGAGTGGCGCCGGCGGCAGCAGGAGTGGCGGGGCCGACGGTGATCTATTGTCGGCGACAGTGGTGGTCACTGGTGTTGTGGTGGAATGGGGGTTTGTGTTATAAAAAATGGACAAAGGGTAAAAATATCATTTTATTTTGATTTATGAGCGACAAATAGTAAAACACGAGCGGCAAATAGTACGGCTCTTATTAATTTATGGCAAAATACACTTCCATAGCCAAAACTTTGACGATTGTGACAATAATAGCCATTTTTGGCGAAATACCAGATATAGTCAGAATTTTGAATGTTTGATGACAAATATAGCCATTTCCGTTACATTCTTTAACGGCGTCACTCACACCGTTAGTCAAATTAACGGAATGCTTACATGGCTGCCAACTTAACCGACACATCATCGCCAACTCAACAACACTTGCCACATGAATACCATGTCATATTTTAATTTAAAAATAAATAAAAAATCACAAATATTTATCATTCTCTCTCCTCTCCCACCACTCATGCTGTCGATCCTCTCTCTCTCAAACCATCGTCGCCGTCTTCTGCAACTCGACGGAGGTGGGTTCCCGCAGTTTCGCTTAAACCCCTTTTTGCACCAAACTCAACCAACCGGAGAATCACCAGAGACGGAGATGGCGAACTCGACGGCGGTGGATTCCCAAACCTAGGACCCTTTCTTCTCTCTTCCACTCGAAAAAAGAACCCCAGATCGAGTTAGTTCATCCAAAATCCCTAAACGACCGAGAATGCTTGAGGAAGATCGGCTACTGTGAGAAACGAGAGCAAACATAACCGGATTTCCATCGCTTACCGCCGCATTTGGATGAGGAGAAAAAGCAGATTTTATCGCTCCAATGACGTCGCCACCGTGCTCATCGCCGCTTTCGGAGGAGGAGGAGAAGCAGCAGCTCGCGACCGCCTTACTTCGCCGGAATCGATCAAGGCTCTACTCTGGTTCTTGTAATCAGACGGAAGCAGAATCGCCGCCAATCTCCCCCTTCGTATCCAACCTCTTCCTAACCCTAATCTTCCGGCTCCTTCAGATCTCAACCTCAAAATCCGGTGACCGCTTTCAGATCATCCCTAATCGAAGCCGACTCTGTCTCGTTCCACCCGGAGATGATAATTTCCTCCTAGAAAGAGCAGAGCATGAGCGAGAGGTCCGTTGGGAATTCTAGACAAGCTCTATGACGATTCGAAGGGCAGAGCCGCGTTGGGGGAGCTCTCTGACGATTCGACTGCTTGTGAAAGGGACGAGAAGGAAGAAGGTGAAGGGACGAGGCAGTGGGACGAAAATCTCGTCCATGGCGAAATCCATTCCCATCCTAGTCTGGCGGCAATGCCATCGCAGGGAAGAATCGAGATGGCAATGGAGGTGGGGAGAGGGCGGAGAACAGAGGGTAGGTTGGGTGAGAGAAGTTTTTTTTTGTTTTATTTATTAGTTTTTATTTTTCATAAATCAAAAGACCCAGCCATTTAAAATATTTTAATTTTAATTATTGTTATTTTTTTTAAAAAAATAGTAAATCCACGTGGTAAATACGTACAGACAAAAATCGCCAGATCAGACGATCCGTTAGTCCAGTCAGCACGTTAACTCACACCGTCAAAGAATTGGACGAAAGTGGCTATTTTTTATATTTCTTCAAAAGTGGCTATATTTGGCAAAACCGTCAAAGTTTTGGCTACACAAGTGTATTTTGCCTTAATTTATTATAAGAGCAGCTGCATCGGCTGTCTCTTCTTCATTTCAAAGTGACATGGCAATGTCATTTGCCATTTCATGGTTGTAGCAACCCATTTCAATAATGAAATATTTCATTCGATGGAAGAGCAAATGAAATTGCAAGTGGGGTAGCAAGTGGGCCCATTTCAATTGGTTAGAGTGTATAAATTATTTAGTTATATTGTTTATGTGAATCGAGCCCACCATATGAAATTGGAGATAGATTTCATGGATGTAGATGTAATCGATGTTAAAGAATGAAATTGTAAAAAGTGTATAGGTGGTAGTAGGGGCCACAAATGAAATAGATAGGCAATTTCATGGTTGTTGATGGTCTAAGGGTTCGTTGCTAATACACCGACAAAAAAAATCATTAGGCCTTTGATAGATAAGAATTGGGCTTTCAGCTATGGGCCCACCAAAGAAAAAGCAAAAAATAACAGACGGAATCTGCTACTGCGTGACCATTTTAAAAAAAGCCACCCGCAAAGCGCCTTTTTTCCTTCAACGCCAGGAAAGAACAAAACGCGGCACAAAGTTAAAAGCCAGCGTCCATTCCGTTCCGTCCCGCAATTTTCTTCCTTTCCTTCCTCCCAAATTCTCCGTCAGCTAAAAGTCAAAAAACACCGATTTCTTCCCCCCCTAAACCCCGCCACCGCCGTCGCCGTCCGAATTCTCCACCGCCATGTCATCCCCACAGAAGCGACCGGAATCCGACCTCCCAATCCCATCCCTCCCTTCCCTCCGCACCCGCTCCACCCCATCCCCTCGCAGCAGCAGCTTCTCCTCCTCCCACTCCACCGCCACACCGACCTCCGGCGCCCAGCGCCGCATTGCGATCGCCGTCGATCTCAGCGACGAGAGCGCCTACGCCGTCAACTGGGCCGTCCAGAACTACCTACGACCAGGGGACGCTGTAATCCTCCTCCACGTCCGCCCCACCTCCGTCCTCTATGGCGCCGATTGGGGTTCCATCAAGGTTCAGATAAACACCAACGGCAGCAATAGTCAGAAGAGCGACGACCAAGATTCGTCCTCCGATCAGCAGAAGCTGGAGGACGATTTCGACAATTTCACCACCACCAAGGCCAGCGCCCTGGCGCAGCCCCTGGTGGACGCCGGGATTCCGTTCAAGATTCACATAGTCAAAGACCACGATATGAAGGAGAGGCTTTGCCTGGAGGTGGAGAGGCTGGGGTTGAGCGCCGTGATTATGGGGAGCCGAGGGTTTGGGGCGGCGAGGAGGAACAGTAAAGGTAGGCTGGGGAGTGTGAGTGATTACTGTGTGCATCACTGCATTTGCCCCGTCGTGGTGGTGCGTTATCCGGATGATAAGGAAGGTGGGATCGAAGAAGGGAGTTCGAAGAAAGGGGTTTCTTTGGTAGATGAGTGTGAGCTCCATCCCGTGCCGGAGGAGCAGGAAGAGTTTCACGATGGTTCTGATGAACACAAAGGTTTGAATTTGCTTCCTTCTCAAATGATTTGGATTGTATTTGAATCCCAATCTTCCCGAGTTATTTCTTCTTGTTGATGTTTGTATATGAATTTGGAAGATTGTTTGATTGATTCATGGTGTTTGAGCTTTGCTTTGATTGGTGACCAAAGAATGAATCATTTCGTGGGGCTTAGGTTAGTTGACGGGATGAGAATAAGACTCTATTAGGGTGATCTTTGTTGAGGTTCGTGGTAATGGTTTCTATCTAGGATTCTCATGAATGGTCATGTGGAAGTGCATAGAAATGTTATTCAAGATTTCATTGGACATGTTCAACAGTAGGTTAAATGCTTAGCATTCAAGCAAGGAATCAAGGATTCTGGTGTAAAATGGAAACTGCAGTACATATGCCCACCACCTGTCTTTCAGATTTGAGCAAAGATAAATTATGGAGCAATTGAACTGCTCTTATTCTGTTGGTTATATTAGTAATAAGTGATTGTACAACTAGTGATCTTGAAGGGAATCAGGAACACAAATTCTGTTTTATGGTAGATGAAAAGTTGATTCAGTCGCGAAATTTTTCATGGTTTGGATGGCTTGGTTTAGTCTCCTTTGATTGTACAGTGACGTACTGGTGATAAACCTTGCTGTGTAAAATTCGACTGAGGAGTTTTCTGTTATCCTCTCAACAACTCTTCTCCTTCAAGCTTTTGCCAAGTATTTGGTAGAGCAACTTATAGCAGTGGCCAAACTTGGTTGTTATACATGTACGAACCCCGTCAAAACGACATACCAGTAATTATAAGTTCCTTTGTGCTTTGCGTGTTTCTATATGTTTGCTCCCTTAGGTTTTGTTAGGTTACTTGCGAGCATTTCATTTGAGCACATACAGTGTGGAACGAAGATGACCTCTGTAGGAGAAATTCTTTGTATAACTCAGCTTGCTGCATCAGTGTGACCTTGGTCAAGATTGGCTCTACATCATATTTGTTTCTAAGTTGTAATTCCTGATGCTTCATCTTGTGCAGATGCTTAAGGAACAAGATGAAGTTCATTCTCCATCAGGTAATATATAGTTCGACCACTGTTGGCAATCTTTTGCAGGTTATTTTCCATTTAGACTAAGCGGTAGGGTCTTTTGTTCGAATAACTTCGACGAGTTTCCCAGTATTAAGAGTCGTTGGTGTATCTGCAGGAGAGTGTTTGAGGCTGTCATCCCTTTTTCTCAGCTTGGTGTAACATGAGAGGGTTGTACTGTTTTTCCTCCCTCATTGTATATAATCTATGCGACTGCTGGTGTTGAGATTTCTTCTGGTTCTTCCCGTGTAATGAATGACCTGAACTAGAGGTGTTTGGTTTCAGAGTCCGAATTGTATGTGGACAGTTAAAACCCATCTTGATTCTTGACCACAGATTCTACAGTTGTTGTTGTTTCCCTGTCACCAGTTTTACTTCACCAATGACAGCCAAGACTGCGATTTGTCATTTGTTCAGAATTCTGTCTTATCACTACAATTTGTCAATTTGCTTCATGTTCCATCACTGAACATAAAGAATCGATCGGTTCAAATATCAAATCCAGGACAGGTGAGAGAGAGAGATTACATTTTTTTTGTTTATTTATATAAGGGTGATACCAATTTATTAATTAAGAAAATAAAACACGAAAGTAGAAAGGAAAACAAGCAATTTCAAACGGGTCTACCAGCGAATACTAAAACAAAACAGAGAAGGCAGCAAAGCTGCTAAGAGACCTTATAAGTACTCTATGCATCAATCCACTACCGATAACGGGTTCACTTCTGTTTGAGAGGAATGACGCCATAGATTTGTTCAAACGACGGGATCTGCAGATGGAATCTCAATCAAATGCGGTTAATCTGCAGATGGAGACTGCTACGTCGGGGTAAAACTGGCAGGCATTCCTTCATCCGGATGGAGAGAGAGAAATATACGTCTCGCACTGTAATCAGACGAAAAATCAGAGATGAGGAATGCAGAGGAAAACATTTAGAAGAAGCATGCATGCATATAATACACAATACAAGATGAACACCCAGCTTGTTGCCGCGTTGTGAAGGAAATCCGGCAGGGGCGACCTGAGAACACATGATGATAGATTGGATCCTGGAAACCTATCCCACCAGCCACATGCGATCTCAGGTCGACCCTGTAAGAATCCTCCACACACAAAGATTTTATCTTGCACACAAAGATTTTGAGGTCTGACAACACAATGTGTGAGTTTGATGTTTATATATAACAAGGAGAAGAAATCTCCGCTCCATCAAGTGATGTACTATGGTTGTAAATTAGGAGTACTATTTTCCAATCCCTCTTATTGCTGTATCTGTACTACAACTACCAGCCAAGCATTGTACACAGCTACTGTACGTTCTTTCCAGCTTCACACCCATATCTACACACCATTCTGTACTACTTGCTTGCACTTGCAGTTGCAGTACACCTTTATGGTTGGCGGTGATTTTTCTTACTTTTGAATGCGGCGAATAATTCTACTCTTGAATTCAAAATGCGACCAAATCACCGGAACTTACACCGAAAAAGAAGAGATCCCAATGCACAAAAGGATCCTTGGAATTAGGATCAAAGAGTAGCTACCCAGGTGAAATGAATTGTTCATCATGTTAGTTAACTTGTGCACAAGAAGCTCACAGCCACGGAGGGAAACCAGAAGAAACTGAATTGATTCGAAAACTTTCAGACACAAACCAGTTCTTCAGCTGCACACTTCTTCATCTGTTGACTGCTTCTGCGGCTGTCACCACTCACTGCCTATCATTTTCCGGCTTCTCCTCGCTCATTCAATAGTCTGAACAATACCACAAAATATAGCATGACACAATTACACGAAACATATTCAAACACACTTGGAACGGCGCAGGGAAATACTAGCAAAGCGCCTGCAAAGAAAGAAGCATGCAACATAAAGTGGAGGAACCTCTACAAAAGCACAAACACCTTTATTAGAAGAACACAAGCAAACATTATTCCGAAGGAAACAATCTCCCCAGAGTGTCAAACTTCATATCACTGGGCTTTAGGGATGGGTATCAAATGATAAACAGCCCTCTCCGCCAAAGGAGCGGGCAACAAGCAAGCAATTGAAAGTTCAAACATGATAAACACCCACACAATGTTTCTTTTCCAATAAACAAACAAACTCAGCATCTCACGCCAGAGGTCCCATATTTCCTTCACTTCTGCTCCTGCGCATCGCCAGCTCAGCTCTGAATTCAACAAGCCTGCTACCAAGATCCACAGGTTGTTGCTGCTGCTGTCGGCTGTGGGTGCTCAGTCTACTGGTCCCGCTAGGCGGGAGCTTCGAGTGCTTCCCCTTCGGCCTCCTCGGTGAGGATGTACTGCTACGACCGTGAGTAGATGACGTTAATGCTCTTGACCCGCTCAAACCGTGGCTACCCTTCCTCGCACCTTTGTTATCCGACCTCAGCCCACTGCTAATCCCAAGCCTCACCGACCGATCAGCAGTAGAATCCTTCAACGCCCCTGCTTTGATCGCCTGCCTGTTGAAGTAGACCAGATGCGGCAGTAGGCCCCGAAGGTGCTTCTTGAGCTGTTCATCTCCGACGTTCTTCTGAGCTGGATTTCCTTCCAGGCTTATTGCTTGCAGGGAGTTGTAGTTGGCAGCCAGCTGGCCAAGACACTTGGTTGTGGAGAGCTTGTTGAAACGAAGATCAAGCACTGTGAGTTTTAGCAGGCGGTGAAGGCCTTCCACCTCACTTATTTTGTTGCCCGCCAAGTACAGCTCCTTCAATGACGAGCAAGAAGCAAGGCCTTTGGCAAAGAAACAGAGAAAGCAAACCGTCACAGAGATTAACTATCAGACAGTTTCAGAAATGAAAAGTGAGCATGTAAACAGTGGTGGCAAATATCAAATGTAAATTCCCTAATTCACCTCTTTCATTTAAGAGCTTAGTACCCAAACTTCTACAGCTTTACCCAACCGCCATTAGACCTAACAGATCACAAAAAGACCCTCCCAGCCATATAAAATGTTCAAGACAGTGTCATTGATCCCCACAAACCCTTTTAAACTCGACTTGCAAACCCGTTTGCCACTCTACGCGTAAACATAAAAGCTTTCGGTGGCCTACCATGTCCAATCCTGAATATCCGGTTGTAGCTCAAGTCCAGAACACGAAGTCGAGTGAGTTCCCTTAAACCCTCGATAGTGGATATGCTGTTTTTCGCGAGATTCAACATGTGGAGCCCCCGAGGAAGGGCACCAGCAGTTATTCGAGCTGTAAAAGGGTTCATAAAACACACCACATTCAAGAAAAATTCTCCAACATGTAAGATGTACCAAAATACCACTGTGAGGAGCACTACTGACCTATTGAGTTTCCAGATAGATTGAGCACTCTCAGACCTCCAAATGCACTGAGAGATGGAATGACTGCTAGCCCATGGTTGGAAAGCTGAGCAGTGGTAGTCGTGGGACTCAAAGCAGATATGTATCTCTTTGCAGCTTCCATGCCAGGACTCATTTTATCATCCACCTTCACAGCAGCCGTCAGTCTACCCAAAACCGTCGAATTTTCTCCACCGACTGGTTCATCAGCATCAGCCAACAATACACTTGTTTCTTCCACTGGACCGCAGGAATGAAGATCGTTGACCCATGCCTCAATACGCCTGAATCTAAAATCCTCATTTGGAAATTCACCCGGTTGCTGCACCAAGAAGTCTCGGTCAAGGTGTTCTGGTAAATTCTCCTCCTCGGGCATTACCCAGTCTTTTGCCAGAGAAGTGTAATCATAAGAATCATAGCCATCATCAGGAGGGTTTTCAAAATCGTTTCTTTCATTTCCACACATGTTAGCATCTCTTTCCTTTTCCAACATTGACTGCATTCCAACTTCATGAACTGAAGGAAGTTCTTTCCATCCCATATCTAACCCGCGTAGGTCATTACTAGATTTTGATTTTCTTAATAAGTATCTGAAGTGTGCACCAGAGGCAGAACTCAAGTTTGGAAATGAACATGACCTGTCAAGCACAATAGGCCTCTGAGGAGTAGGAATGCCAGAATTATCAGCACCATCTACAGATAACTGAATATCGGAATTTTCAGTAATCTCTTTGTCCGAACGATGAGAATATCCTCCACTTGAGAATGCTGATCCATTGTTGACAGTTTCAGAACCCACTTGAACAGATTCAGATACAGGGGCCTTTCCATATTGACTACTCGGGCTTAAACCTCGTTCCTTGTGATCAGGGGAACCACTAGAACATCCGTGGTCTGTCTCTTCTTCTTCTGTGTCATTGTTGTAGATAACCCTACCTTCATGGCATAATTCACTCCCCAGAGACTTACTTTTCTTCAGAGGTGTTGTCCGAGTAATTCCAGCTTCAGCTTCATGTCCGAATGTTGGGTCAATTACCCCTGAGTTCATGATTTCCTTAGTAGAATAATGAATATGATTATCTGTTTTCGACCTCAGAAATACTGGATTCAAGCTAGTAGCGTGAGTTGACTCCGTGTTCACAGCTGGCATCTTGGAAGAATCTTGCAACATCTTCAGCATTGATTCCATCGAATGTTCAACAGTTCTCTGAGTGAGAAAAAGGAAATCTAATTTAAGTAAATGATATGGGTGGAATCTCAAAACTGCTATGGAAACCAACTCCAAATTCCCTACGTTCACTATTTCCACATACTTACCTTTGATTTGTGGGAAGGAGTAATATGACCGTTGAAGCACGAGAACCTAACCATTGCAACAGCAAAGCGAGAAAGAGCTCTACATCCACAACCCGCGCGCTTGCACTACTACACTAGCGCTAAAAACAGAATTCTATCTGGAGATCACATCTAGAAAGCCTGAATTTGTAAATCTAATGCAAATTGGACTCTAAACGATATGTATTATTGGTCTAGCAAGTGGAGATGTTAGCCATAATCAAGAGACAAGCCCTCTGAAACACGGCAGAGCCTCCAAACATGGGATGATCTTGATCTCCTCAAAACACACAGCAGAATCACTTCCTTGCAATCACCCCACGCCCACTTTGAGGTGGGAGAAGACTTCAACTTTGTTGCGGCGGCCAGAGTGAACCAAAATCTTTGCTCACTAGGAATATCCAGTCCTCAATATACATATGACACGATGGCCTGAATCAATAAAACCAACAAAGGAAAAGATTCCAAAATCAACCCTCAGCTCAGTTCAGCCATCATATAATCAAAATCCAGGCAGGAATGGCACAGGTTCAACATTGACCAACAAAAATGGCATTTCAAATAGTCAATCCAGTAGTAAATGAGAATGAAAAACAAAAAATGGAGTGAAACCCAAGGAACAGTAGAGTTTCCCCAACAACCTTTGCGATCCAAACAACAAATCAACCAATCAGAGCAAAAGATTGCTTCCAAAATGGGCCCAATATAAGCATATCTCTGTCATCAAATCGTCCCACCAATTCAATCTTGCATCCAAAACAACCCAGAAGTCTTTATGAAACAAATGCAAAGCAGAGCCAGAAATTAGAAGGAACAAAGAGTCCAAAGTTCCCATTACATGGGAGAAACTTAATCTGATTATCAAAAAAAAAAAATTGAGAAACTTAATCAAACTACATAAGCGAACAAACAAGAAGATTCAGACGCAGATACGAATCGGGAACGAAAGAGTTCTATCTACCTTTCCTTAGCCAGATTGTGACGAAATCTCAACGCAGCGCGTAAAGTCTCAGCCTTCTCGTCTCCTTCCGCTGTTTCTTCTTACCCTGGAAAAGCTATGGTGGCTGAGACGGGATCCGGAACATATGAAAAAAGGAAAAGCCAACAATAACGACAATTAAACACCTAACGGCGAGAGGAGGCGGAGCGGGAAGAAGACAAACAAACCCTAATACAAAGAGGAGCTTCCTGTCTGTCCTGTGGTGGGGATTGATCAATGGGTAGCCTCAAAAGATACAAACCGACCACAGCTCAGCTGCGAAATTTCAATGGCTGAGATTATTTAAGTAGGGGGGTGGGGAGGAGTAAACAGGATCCCAATTATTTAATTGGAAATCAAGAGCAGGCAAATCCAAAAAGAAGGAAGAATCGGATTCTTGGGTTTGCGATTGGGAATTTATGCAAATTAGCATTACTACTAACCAATCATTAAGATGAACGGATTCTCCCGGGATTTCTGTTTCTGTGTATTCTCGTTTTCAATTCGGGTTTGAACGAAACGGAAAGAAAACCCTAGTGAGAAGAGAAGGTGGGGAAAAAAAAGGAGGGAATTGGTGCGGGGAAAGGATGGTAGGCAGGAAATTGGATAACCTCATAACCACCACCTTCTTTTGCCCTTTTCGCTCGATTTTCCTTTCAGCTGAGCTGGTTTTGCTTCTGCGAGCGGCCACAAAAATTCAAGCCGCAGCAGCTTATAGGTATTTTGTATTTCTTTGACAAACAAATCAAAACTGCACAAGAAAGGTAATAACCAATGCGTATATTGTATTTTTCTCACAAAAAAAAAAACATAGGTTATTTTATTGATATGTGAGATTGCTAAAAAAAGTGATATTAGGTCTGAAAGTAAGCTCGAGATAATCTATAAGAATTGTTATACTACTAGATAAACAATTTTTTATTTTTAAAAATACAAAATTAGAATGTTAAGAGTGAAATTGAAAACCAATTTAGAAAACTGGTATTTTGCTAGACCTGGCAAATTATAACCCGACTCGTTGACCCGACCCAAAACCGCTCGAAAATTAGAAATTTTTTTAATCCGAAATCCGAATGACTCGAACCCGCTAACTCGTGATTTTTTTGGGTCGGATTGGGTGGGTTATCGGGTCGACTCGTTAGACCCGTTCCATTTTATATATTACTCCCAAAATATGGTAAAATCACTCATAAGTTTGTGAGATGCTTAAAAAATCACAAGGATTTGAATGATATGTTTGGAGTTTAAGGATAATCATATATAGACCTGGCAAATTATAACCCGACCCGTTGACCCAATGCGAAACCGCCCGAAAACTAGAATTTTTTGTAACCCGAAATCCGAATGACCCGAACCCGATAACCCATGATTTTTTGGGTCGGGTTGGGTGGGTTAGCGGGTCGACCCGTTAGACCCGTTCCATTTAATATATTACTCCCAAAATATGATAAAATCACATAAATTGGTGAGATGTTTAAAAAAAATCACAAGAATTTGAATGACATGTTTGGAGTTTAAGGGTAATCAAATATCAAGTGTTTCTTGTATTAGTATTACTCTTGTGATTGTTTTTTGACGATTTGTGCAATTTATATTTCATTTCATTAGCGTGGGAGGATTTGAGAATATGTTAATTAACATGTGTTAGGTAAACTATTGTCACGCATATGTGAAAATTTGTGTTCTTTAAGAAAATATGAAGCATGTTTGATATTGTTTCTGAGAACGCTCATAACCCGAAATGACCCGTAACCCGACCCGAAACCGAATGGGTTGGGTCAATATTTGACCCGAAATAAGCCAACCAAATATGACCCGACCCGTAACCGAATTTCCCAACCCGAAATTACCCAACCCGACCTGATTGCCAGGTCTAATCATATATCATGTGTTTCTAGTAGTAGTATTACTCTTGTGATTGTTTTTTGACGATTTGTGCTATTTATATTTCATTTCATTAGCGTGGAGGATTTGGGAATATGTTAATTGACATGTGTTAGGTAAACTATTGTCATGCATATGTGAAAATTTGTGTTCTTTAAGAAAATATGAAGTATGTTTGATATTGTTTCTGAGAACGCTCATACCCGAAATGACTGTAACCCGACCCGAAACCGAATAGGTTGGGTCAATATTTGACCCGAAATCAGCCAACCAAACATGACCCGACCCGTAACCGTAGTCCCCAACCCAAAATTACCCAACCCGACCCGATTGCTAGGTATTTTGCCGCCCGTTGGCCGGATGAATTACAACAATAGTATGAACACTAATAGTAATTATACGAATAATTTATTTGGTACCATGTAAGAAACTAAATTATTCAATTACTAAAAATATTCAAAAAAAACATATAAATTAAAATTTTTACAACATCTTAATCATTCATGGACAAACGTCCTTATCAAAAGTAAACAACACAACTCATGCAGGTAAACGATTCCTAAAAAAACTTAATATTCAAAACGTACTTTAATTTACTCATTGCTATTAGAAATTGTTGCAAATTTTATTTTGGATTCCTTTTTTATCGCTTTGCCCACACAACTTCAGCTTTCATTAATGAAACTTTAGGGGTCGATTGGAAGTCGAGATTCTTCAAATGTGTGTATTTGATGAATACATGTAGGCCTCGTTTGGAACCTTTGATTCCAGACGTTGTATTCTCAGTATACATGTATCCAGTAGAATACAATATTTTTTGACTTGATGTAATAACAGAATGCATGTATTCATAATCCATGTTGTATTCCTAATACATAGAAACTGGGTAAATGTCACATTTGGTCACTGAGATTACTGAATCGTGTCATGTTTAATCACTAGAAAAATTTATTATCAATTTTGGTCACTCAAATTATTGGAACATGTCACATTTAGTCACTTACGGAGTTGGACGGAAACTAACGGGAGAGTGACTAAATGTGACCTGTTTCGGTAATTCGAGTGACTAAATGTGACATGTTTCCAGTAATTCGAGTGACTGGAGTTGAACGTAGGCTAACGGGAGAGTGACTAAATGTGACATTTTTCAGTAATTCGAGTGACCAAAATTGATATTAAATTTTTCTAGTGATTAAACATGACACGATTTAGTAATCTTAGTGACCAAATGTGGCATTTACCCAATAGAAAATTATGTATAGTGAATCTTACCTTTTTTGTGAGATTTTAGCATGATCCCTGAAATCGTACCGGATATCGTATCGGAAAAGTCAGTGGTATGATATATTATGATAAAATCATGGTTTAACTGTAGTTCAACCATTAGACCGTTAAATATCGTCTATCGGTTCAGCCTCCAATACTGGTACTTCGTGGTTGAACCGCCGGTACAGTACGGTTTCATGGACCATGGATTTTAGTATCCATAGTTCATTTAAACTATAATCCATGCATTCTCTTATAGTTTCCAAACAATGAATTTTCAAAACCACACATTCTTAACATACACATAATCTTTATTACACACATTCTCGTAATACATTATTTCCAGAATCAAAGGTTCCAAACGATCCCGTATTATAAATACAAAGATTGTAAGAATTAGATGATTGGAAGAATGTCTTGTTTGTGTGTAGCCATTTAAAAAAAATTTAAAAAGAAAAAAGAAAAAAAAACACTTCATGAGCTAAAAGTGAAACAAATTAAAGATCACAATCCTTTAAAATGAGTGATTGTGGCCTGTGGGTGAAATGAGATTTGAGGGTCCACCTCAAATGCATGTATTGAATAAAATTTTGGAACAAAAAAAGATGAATTCTCCAGAATACATGAAAATGTGAGACAACTTTACACGATACTAGAATTTCGCCTAATATAAATCATAAATATTATCAGTCATTCGCTCTTTCCTCCCACCACAATATTTCTATATCAACCATCAATAATCTTTTTCTTTATCCAATAACGTCATTATCTCCATCACCGAATTCACTACCTCTGATATTATATACTTTTCCTTCTTCTCGTGCATTTCACTAAATGCAAAATTTTAATGGCAAAATTTTTTGGATTGTGAAAACTCCATTTTCAAGAACTTAAATTTACCCAGTACAACCAAAGGTAAGATAGCCTAACGGTAAAGCTGTCGCAATATTGAAAGCTTGTGAGTTGCAGATCCCACGTTTGATCCAAGCGAGGCCCATTGGTGTTCCCGGAGGTATGAGGCTGCTTGGGCAAAACCTTGTTGGCTAGAATTGATTGCAGGTGGCCCCCAGATTTAGTAAGCCCCGCTGTTACAAAGTAGTACGTGGGCTGAGGTTCCTGTGTAATAAAAAAAGAATTTACCCAGTACATGTCATGAACTTTATATATGATTGCTCATCTTCATCCTCCATTATCTTCAAAACTGTGTACCCACTTATGGGGTTCGCGGTGTTATAATCGGTGAGCTTCATATGAAAGTTAAACTTTATGCTCCCGGTTTGTATGACATGAGGAGGTGAAGGTTCTCTCATTTTGTCACTATTTTGAGTAGTTTCTCAATAACCATTCCAAAAATTCTAGCTTACTCATGATGCAGAACAAGAAAGTTAGAATAAACATATGTTGTCTACAACTCACAGCTAATCCTAAATTTATAAATAATAAAAATTGAGATATATTATTTGGTCAGAAACTCTGTATTTTAGTGGTACGTTGTTTTCTCTCTTATGAATGGACTTGAAGTTAAAAATAATTGAAGAGTGCAGATAGATTGTTACCTAACTACTATTGTCTTTGATGTTGTTGTATAATCTTATAAATTGCTTATCATAGCCTTCTTCAACTTTTCTTTGGCAAGTTACAATTAATATGGTTTTTCTAACCCATTAAAATCGGAGTTGAAACAAATGAGATATAATCTGCTAAATTTTTGAGAAATTGAAAATCTCCTAACTATAGTTTTTGAGATTTGTGCCCACTGTAACTAAAGGAGATTATGCACCAAAACTCTAGCCCTTTTACTTGGCTGTTTGAAATCGTATTGGAACACTATTTTGTCAATAAGATGGTTCCCCTAGGTGAATATGTTTTTGAGGCGTAGAATCAATAATTATAGTACTCAATAATAGTATGAATTCACTTAATAACTCAAAATAATATTGAAGCGGTTATAACATAACGAAATAATATGTTATTGTCAAAGCAAGTTTTGATAAGAATCATCATCGCACTATCTCACCAATATTTGGTCAAAACCAAGCAAAGTTATGAAAAAAGAAAGCAAACAGAGTTTTCGGTTTCGTGCTTTTGTAAGGAAAACTATACATAACAAACCTAGATCTAAGGTGGTATGATCTCATACTATTTTTATCGTTTCCCGAAAAAAGAACTTAAGAAAGAAATTATCTAGCTACAGATTTTAAACATTGAACTTCTAGTCTCTAGATGAAAATTGTGATTTACATTTCATCACTCTAAGAGAAAACCAATACTTAAAAGCATAATTGAGTAATAATTTAATAAATTCATAAACCTCCTCGCCATTATCAATTTTCATTAACTCGTTGAATGAAATTTATTATTTTGTATCTATTTTATCGAAAACCTCAAATCCAAAGTTATAATCGAAATTAAGAATTAGTTAATTAGCTAAGTCACACATCTAACAATTTATCTCAAACACTTAAACCTATAATATAAGAAATTAAATAAAAAACTAAACCACATAAACACACACAACCTTATCATAAAATAATAAATTAATAATATAATAATTCTTTTATAAAATATTCCAGCGAAATCTTC